TAAGCCATTCAATGACATACTTAGATGTAAAAAATAAATATTCGTACACAGTGGGATGTAACAGTTACTCGATAGCAAGGTCGAAATTTTTAAAGATACTCGATATTAGAAAGAAAGCTTATAAGCCATAATAACATAAGTCGTATTAATTTACCTTTTAAAGTTATGAAAAGCTAACACTAACGCATGTCTTTTTAAGATAAGCGATTGATCTAAATTTAGCCTTTGCTTATATGGTAATACACGTACACCCCTTTAGTAGGTTATAATAATACTGTAGCTATTAGCTGAAAGTAAGAAGGCCTTAAAAATGTTTGATGAATAAGAACGAGTGAACGATTCATATCGATGACAATTAAATTTTAAATGAATATAGATTTTAGGATTTATCCGTAAATCATAAAATATACCCTTTTTCATGTCTGTCATTCGAGCATTAATTTAAGAATTACTATCAAAGTAGATTTATAGTATCGTATCGATCAACATAGAGATTCATATATTCCATTTTAAAATAAGTCCAGTTCATTTCCTTAACTGTCACGTATGTACAATATGTATCGTTTGTATATTATTAACTATCTATCTGCCAATATAAAGTATTATAGTTTGTTAATGTCATTTTTGTACATACTCAATCGCATTTCCAGATCACTAACAACAATAACAATTTTTTTCATACGAATATCTTGTTAAATTGATTCTATTTTTTCACCTATTAAAATGTTCTTACTGCATTCAGAGAACTTCTTTCTTGATGATCTACCTTGACAGCCAGCAAATAGAATGCTTGTTTATCGCTGTTATTAACGACAATCAATATGGTTACTAAATGAGACGAAGAATGAATTGATTTGGATACTCTTATTCGTACGTAGATTGAAGCTTTTGTATTAAGAGATATCAACGAAATCGTACCAGCCATGTATCGTATTCATATGTCGAGACTAGTTCTTATACTAACATTATTTGGTATTTCTCACTTATGTACACTTATAAATCTTTGACTAGTTTCTATAGTTATCGAATGTCGTAATTTTAGTTACTGTTATACAATAGCGTGGAGATATGGACAGGTGCAAGTTAAAAAGTTATAGCATCCATACACTTTCGTATACTTATCGTTTAACGATATGTTTACATAATATATGTAAACTTTAGATCACAATTGCGATGCTCCTACTTCGATAGCGATATGATTTATTGTCTCTTCTATGCCAGACAATGCTCATAATAATATATATTATCAATCTCATTATTGCTACTATTATTTTATGCTATTGTTAAATCAAGGATTATGATACTATGTGCTACAGTTTCGAATGCGGTGTACAGTATCAGTACTATCATAGACGATTAAATATATTGCAAATCTATCATGGATGGAATATTGACGGTAGAATAAATAAATTA